GCGGTTTTAAAACATGTGCGCTCGAGTATATAAATATAAATATTACAAAAATAAATCAATAGTTTTTTATCCGCTGCGCACAAATGTGTCTTTTAATTCTGCCAAATGGCTTTAAAAATGTCTTCAACCGATTCTAGATTAAACTAAAAATCAAACCCAGATCACAGGTTTCCAAATGTTGGTATTTTCCTTTTCAACCACAATATTTATTTTAGATTAATGTGTTGGAGCGCTAGCCAATAGAAGCGCGAGTGTTCCGATGTGATGTCACTATGTTACAGAAGTAAACAAAGGAGTCCAATGAAGGCGTTTCCCATTACACTAGAAAGAACCTGCAGAAAATGCAGCTGAGTGACAGATGAAGAATACAAAATCACAGTTCCATAAAGCAGGATTAAATATATGACCTTGTGCCAGTGCAAAGATATATCGGTAACCAAAAATAGAGTAGCTCCCTGAGACTGCACAAATATATTGGATTTCTCCTCTACATAGTTACAGCAAAAATAATCCTGTGATGCAGGTAGGATAATTCAGCTTTTAATTGGATTTAAATCAAATAAATTCATAGGACATTAATACATATTAGTCAAAGCAGCGAAAGTGAGTAGTTTACTTGAAAACTGGATAAAATATCACTACTTATGTGCAGAGCGTATTGTGTGTGCCTAGTAGGGACTTTTTCCCCCATTTTCTTTTTTTTAAACAGATAAAAAGTCAATTCTTACATATTTTTCATGATACAGAAGTTCTAATACGAATGATATGGTCAGGCAAAGGTGTAAAAGACAAGAATATCAGGACAGATTCCTCTCCATGCAGAGGGTGGATTTCTTTCGAAGCGTTTTCTGTGCGCATCTTGTGTGCAACAGAAGCGAAAAAGGAACACATGGGGCGCGTGGGCGTCTTCTGGCAAACAACAGCCTCCTTTTTTTTTTTTTTTACAACAAAGACATTTCATATCTGCCAGTGAGATTCTCAGCGTGCAACCAAGAATGTCACCTTTTAACTTTAAAACACTTCACAGAGAGACGGTACAGCTGAAGACCTGTATTGTGTTTGCACCCGGATTATGTGCGTTGAGTTGTAACCTTGTGGAAACAGCAGCAATCACAGAGATCGGAGGCCTAACCCTCGAATAATCCTCTTTTATTGCAGAGGAAGACATTGTGTTGAACTTTCATATGCCTGTTTCCCTTGGCGGGTTGGACAAAGTGTTCGAGTGTGCTCTTCACACACACACACACACACACACACACACACACACACACACACACACACACACACACACACACACACACGCACACACACATCCCGGCTTTTGAGTGCAAAGTGAATCATCGTTCCAGACAATATCTTTGTCAAACACCGGCCTTGACGGATAGACATCGGCAGATTTGCAGAGCCATGGCAACAGTCAAGTGTGATGAGAGGAGCGTGTGTTTGTGCTTTACGGGAAATTGGTTGGTTAATTCCTGTTTCGATTGCCCAGGAAAAAGCTGCCAAAGCAATAAAGGAAGAGAAATTAAATTGCGTGCACGGAGAATTCTAGTTGAGACCCGAAATCTTAGTGTGATATGATGAGAAATCTGCTGAGAAGTAACCAAGAGATCACATTTTCCTATCCCGTTTTAATCGGCAACATGTTATGGATCACAATTTGCCCAAATCTCCTTTGTTTTTAAGACTGTGAGGAGAGATACGCCCACTCCTAGTGTACATTTGCATTTAAATCACATATATTTAGAACGCGACTGAACCCAAGCAGCTATTTCCTGCGTCTTTAGGGATGATAATTAACATATTCATTTGTTCCTTTCCCGCCAAAAGCATGTAACTAGGCAGCATAAACCCCTCTCTGTACCTGGGCAGCACCCAGATCCTGCAGAACGTGTGAAAGACGATGTGAACATCGGGGGGGAATATGGTGAAAATGGCACACACAAGTACACACTCACTTAGGGCCAAGAGTCAACAAAAGCTGAGCGTGGGTGGAAGTGTAGGAGGAGGCGGAGGAGGAGGAGGCAGGTGATGAAGGCTGCTCGGCTGTTTTCAGATCAGGCCTTGATGGTCTGTGGCGCATTATTTAACAAATAGAGAGTCACAGAATGAATGGTCGACTTTATCATGTAAATGATCGCAGATGAATCCGAAAGTTAGCAAAATGTTGGAAAGCTGAGGACACTCCAAAATATATGCGCTTGTGTAAAGTGCTTCATATAAATGCATGTAAGTAGAAATATACCTTTTAGTTTATTTACCAGAGTTGTGCAGTGATGACGTATATTGGTAAGCCAACCCGGAAGTTAGCATGGCCCTGGTGCCCTTGACAAGAAGCAATAGGATATTTCCATTCGATTTTGGAATATTGCAGAAAATCAGCTCAGCAAACACACTTTTATGATACTTACAGGTTTTGTTCAGCGGGATAATCTCCACATATTAAAACCACCTTATGATTTTGAAGTGAAAAGCTTACGTTAGGCTTTAGAGGAACAACAGCACGGTCACCGCTTAACCACCGCTAAGCTAAAGGTGGCTAATGTTGATGACGTTTAGTCGCCTCATTTAGAAACTTTTTGGGGGTATTTACTGACGGATTTTATGAGATAGAATAAGAATCTCTTCACCTTGTGTTAACCACACACCTTATTTCAGACTAACAACAAAAAACACATCCAAAAAAACCATTGACTTCCAGGAAGTCATTTCCGGGTTTTAGGACTCATTCCTGTATTAATGTTGTGTTTAGCAACATTTCAACAAAAAATATGATGTAAAAACTAAACTTCTTTTATTTTTCTAGAAGAAAAACTCTTGAAAACTGCCTTTTTTTGTTCAGAACATCATTATTAGAGAGGATGCTTATTATGTCCCCTCTATTCACCTCTAATTAAAAAGTATTTTTCGTATGAAGGTTGTCTTGCAAACACTAGTCACGACTCGTGTGTGTGTGTGTGTGTGTGTGTGTGTGTGTGTGTGTGTGTGTGTGTGTGTGTGTGTGTGTACTTACGTATATGTATCGTACTAAGTAACGTAAGTTA